TGTGTGTAGTTGCTCCGATCCAACTGAGAACCGGACTAGCAGGATGTTAGTCATCTGTGCTTTTGGAATAACCACTGTTTATGTAGACTGTTTGTGTTGGTATGTTAACGGCGTCACCGGCCGTTCTATCGTGGCCAGGTCTGGGTTACATAGTGCGCTACGCCTACTGCATTTGGGAGGATTTTGGTGATCACTATTTCCTCAAACTTGGCTAGTAACTGGTCGTACTTGTGAAATAATTAAAGCATGACTTTTATCAGTGGGATAGACGTGCAGTTCACGCGGAACCAGAGAGAATTGTCTCGCTAAATTTTACAATTGGAGCAAGAAATACCCAATTTGCAACGTAAGAACATGAATCACATTAATCCTTAGCCTGAGGTTCGCAATGCGTTGCGCTCTTTGAGCGGATGTTACGACACACTGGACTGATTCACGCTTGATTAACGGCAGTCATTCGCCTTTTGTTGACTTTGGTTTGACAGTAGGTATTTTATTTTTCTCTAGTGTGACTAGGTTGTTCTTTCGGGGGTTTTCTCTGGCGGAGCTGTCGAATTCGTCAGTGAACAGGATCTCAAGGTAAAACAAACATTTACCCCTATCCTGTAATTAACAGTAGGAGATGGATGACGAAAACGAAGGTTTTCTTTATCATTTATACTTATTTGGCAAAACAATGGACACATTTTTATCAAACTAAAAAGTAAAGTACCCAATAACGAAATTTAACTGTGTGTGTGTGTAAAATATTTCAGTGTTGACTCTTTGGTGTCCGTGGAAGTAACAATTCAGACTAACTTGAAGCTTTTAATGCCAAATCGATATCGTTAGCTACTTTCAACCACCTTGTGTATATTTTCGCACGAATTTCAATGCTGCTTTTCTCCCCGTCTTCAATTTCTTTTTCTCTAAAGAAATGCCCTCCCTTAAAAGCATGGTTATTATCATTACAGAGCGTAAGATAATGACTGTGACACACATCAGCTTGTGTACTCGGTCAGGTATCTTATCCTATTAAGTGCGTCACAGCAAAAATCAACAGACCTCCGATTTAATTAGACGCAAAATGTGTGAAAATGGCCATTTGCGAAATATAGATAACTTTCCAGCGGTTATTTTGCCTACCCTCGTAGCTACACATAGAAATTCTATCACATTCGCGTGCAACGTGGCGCTAGGAATCCGAGTCATCAAAGGAATTTTTTCAAGTCCAACTAAGAATATCCGGTAAATCAGCGCTTAGTAACAATAAGGTGTTATACCATAAGGATTTGTGGTAAAATATCCTGAGTAACTATAATGGAGTAGGTGGCTGCTCGATAGGAGTAGTAAGTGAAATTGCACAGCAACCAATATGCTGTATAATGGATGCAGTATTATGACAGCAAGTAAAAATTTAAATAGGCACAGCTTTGTCCAATTATGCAAATTTCGTTTAAATTAGAACCTGCCTGTGACGTCAATACTGTACAGGCTGTCAAAGTCTCTCGCGATCCCGTAAAATATATCGGAATCACAGTAAGATGGGCACGCAAATGTGACGTCAGTTTCCCTGGGCAAATAAGGTTGCTTAATAGCAAAAGATTTCCGATAATTGAACCGAGCTAATCAGATAATCCTTATGGGGCTCAGGACTAGCTGTTGTTCTGTCTAATGTAGAGCACTCGTTCCAGCTGCTAAGATCCAGAGGCGTTTTCCTATTTATGAGAATTAATGGAGCTTCTTCTGTCAGTTAGAAATTTTCTGATCGTTTCCTTTCTCGGCCAGATGAATTTAGTAGTTTTATCTCAATACGAAATTGACACTTATTTTTACGACGTAATGACAGTGGTTATGTTTTCCACCGTTTTTTCTCCAGAAGCGGCCCCTAAACCGAGACGTCAATTTTCGCGTCTTACAAACTACAATTCTTTTCCATCCTGCTGACTTGAGAGGCCACAGAATTAAAGGACGGGAAAAGCGGGAATTTTACAGCTACCGTTCTTTTCCTATAGCCTGTTCAAGGTGCTGGCACTACAAGATTCTTCAATCATTATACCCTGCTAATGGCTTCTAAGGACTCACAGCTGGTACTATTGAAGTTCTAGTGTGTCTATTTCACTGATGGCCTCCAATTCCAGATAAAGCGGCACTAATATGCCATCCTCGACCAGTCTCTTACTCTGAAGCCGTATGGTATCCGGCGTTCTTTCTGAAGCACGTGGTGGCGAATACATTGTTAGATTTTGTAATCTGAAATCTGGAGTACCATACAAATTCTCCGCTGCCTTTCCCAAGGACGTACTTTGGTTCCGTCTCATAAGCTCCTCGGCTATTCATAACGGAGGACTAGCTTGCTATAGTTGGTACACTCTTTTCAGGATGTAAGCAAGAGTACAATCCACTATTAGCTGCGCAATACAGAATGCAGTTAATTTCGTTTGTTCATCAAAGATCACCTGATAAATTAACCCCAGTATTTAGTAATGTTTCACAAAAGATGCTAGTTCTTATCCAGAGTGTTTCTTTTCATTATACATGTACGTATTGTGATATTGGTCATGAGGAATAAACTTCTGACCAATCAGTGGGCCAAAATACGCCTAGTAGCATCGCAATTTTCTTTGACCTAGCAACAAAACTTTTACTGCTGTGTTATTGATAAGGGTAACCAGTCCCACTCCACATGAAATTTAATTTAATTAACTCCGAAGTAGTAAAGGTTCTACACTAGAAACAATTATACGTCTCCTCTTACACGGGCGACAACTTGAAGGGTAATTAACTTACTAGGTTAATGCAGCCGTCTTGTTTACTTGGAACACGTTTTTTAATTAGTAGGTGGAACGAGTTATTTCACGCCATCTAGATTATATGTTGGGCTGCTTAACCAGGTTTGCGTTGGCACAAACCAACGGCCTAAGATATATTTGGTGTAAACTGTAATAATTTACAGTCAGGTCCTAGGTGGAATATGGAAAATCTCAATACAGTTTATCCATGAAGTCACAGCATAGCTTTTCAGTATCTTTAAGTGTACAAGGTAAAGGTAAAGGTAAAAGGTAAAGTGAGTCCCTGGCGAAGATTTAAAATGTTGATAAAACTAGGGAGTCAATATTATTGTACCTTCACGATATTATAAAAATCCCACTACAACAAAAAATGCATCTCAATGTATCACCAAATAGTCTCCATACAATGGAACAATGGTTTACTACGACTGAAAAAGCAAGTACCTGGCAGGTCTTGTGGGAAGGTCAAAATGAGAAACGCAAAATTGATGAATGAAAGCGTTGACAAATTGTAAACCTTATTGGTCCACTTACCATAGTGTTCACACGGAGACAATAGTAAAGCAGAATATCTCGATTGTGTAACGAAATGCTGGCAGATGCAACGTTTTTTATGTTGTATTGTCCGTCGAGGTGTACAGGCCGAATATCGTAATGCAGATGAGTTGGGGTAATATCAAGTCGTATTAACATGTGGGGTTGAAAAGTAATTAGAGAGGGTGCTCCAAGTCTAGCACATATGTTTCGGCGGTCTTCCAGCCGGCAGTACTGCGTGACCAAGTTGCACAGCTGGCCCCACAATTTCGTTTTTTGACTGGTGACACACCTGACTGAGGTTGCTCAGCATCTTCTAGGTCATTAGTAGATCGCATTGTAGACCGCGATAAGGATTTCCGCATAATATTATGGTTCTCAAGGTTAGTTATATGATAGGGGAATAATCCTTTGACATGCTTGCTGGCTGTTCACTGTGGAGTCTCGAGCGCCGTGAGATCTTGCTTGTGCCAGGGCTGCCAGGCCTTGATGATGTATTCCAAATGGCACCACAAGTAAATGTCATGTACCTGTGAGCAGGCTGGTGGATCAGATAGCTTGAATAGCTTCCGTAGATGAACAACATGTGTATTCCATGTCTTAAAAGCCCTCAGATTGTTCTCAGCAGCCCAGAGTACAACGGAGTATTGAGCCAAGAATGCGTTCCGGAGTGACTGTATACAGGACGTAGTTTTCAAGCTTGTGTACGTTGTTCGATTAATGACAAATGTAGGTCCCATTAGGTTTAGATAGAATAAACTGACTGTTTATAAGCTTTGTCAATATCCCCATGTTTAGCGACATCAGCCACATCTTAACACCGCCATGAAAAACAAGAAATCCGAGGTGATGAGACGTGTAAGCTCACTAATAAATGCGGGAAAAAGAGGTGGCTCCCGCGTCGGTTTTTGTAGAACTCCACCTTTGTTTTGAATCGGATCGGACAGCGCACTTTGAACACTAACCTGCAGTTGCCACTGTTGCAGCAAATTTTCCGATGCACAGAAAGACAGGATCCTCGACCTTGTAGCTTTCGAGCCTGTGTAGTAGAATACCGTGCTCCGGGCGGTCGAAAGTTTTAGAGAAGTCAAGGAAAATGACACCCATCCCTGTTCCTGCACTTGGTAGGTATAGTGAATTGACTACTAGTCCCTACACCCAAATCCATCAAGGAACTTGGTCGCCGTAAAATGCAATAAATTAGTGGCTGGTATTGGGTGTCATGTTAGAACGTATCCGGTCTGTCATGGTAATCTTTTATGAGCATTTTTTCTAAAAGTTGGCGAAACCAAGTGAATTTAACAAATCATAATGAACAAGTAGAACGAGTCTGCAGAGCTTCGTTTCGAGTTTCGCGCAGCTGTGTCACAAGCAACCGTACTGTTTTCAAAATTGAAACCAACTTGATTATCTCAATAAACGTATAATCACTTAACGAAAGACGGTAATCAATATAACATGATTTTTGACATAAGTCGGTGATGGGATAGTAATCTGTTGTACTATAATGTTGCAATAAAACAATCTGTCAAGCATTTACATATGTGCCGGGAGAGTTAACTTAGTTTGTCAATTTGATGCTTGACTCGCATTTGTGCTCAAAGTCGAGAAGCATGGAGTAATTGCGTATCGACGGTCCAGTTTCCTAGGCAATGTGATTACAACTTCCCTCCACTACGGTTTTTTCTTTCTTAGAGAAAGTTTTTCAAAAAGAAAGGGTACTTTCCTCATCGAGCATGTGAAACAACAGATGTACCTGACGAACAGCCATTTCGCGCAGCAAATGGCAATTCCAAACACGATGGAGTTGATCCAACGAAGCGCATAAATCGGTTAGAAAATCCTGCACACCCCTCAACTCTGAGCTTATCGCCTAGGGAATCTGAGGGAGAACTCGTATCTAATGATCCCAAATGCAAGAAATTAAATGAAGACATCAGCCAGCCTACTGCTGCGGAGGAAGAACCTACGCTGTGGCGGCCTTCAGTCCCCTTTCAAAAGAGTTTTGAAGTAGAAAAAGTGAAGCCCACTACAACTAACAAACTACGCAAGTACACGTCGGCGGAGCAGAGTGACGCGATGGAACAACCTTCGGAGTGGTGAGTTGCATTAGGATATCCTCCCTTCATATCAAGCTGTTTCGTTTTGTAAAAGAGAAGCAAATTTATCAGATCCTAATGAAGCAGGTACAACTAGCATCGCAGTCGTAATTTGCAAAATTTTTGCTCACTGAAGTGTAGTGAAAGTAGTCGTGGGCTGCTCTAGTTGCAGATTATATGAATTTGGTTAACGGAGTCATTGCATGCATTGTTCATCGTTTGGAGTGAACAGGAACTGCTCAGTGTTGATGTGATCTTATTAGGCTTTGCCGACGAACTCATCTGCGTCACCAAAATCAACAACGATTAGAACAAACTGTTTTTCTGATTACCATTGTCTCCCAAACACGATGACTGAACCACAGATTCTTGCAACTGAAATCTTATTGTGGCCGGCATATCGATCGTAGTGTAAGTGTTGGTTAGTAAGTGATAGGATACGCTATCACGTTGATATGATACATAACATTGTGATGTCAGAATGGTGCCAGTATTATATTCAGTGAAAAATTCTGTTACCTAATAAAGAGTAGAATGATTTCGCCTGAGGAAATGTAAGAGTACGATTGGCCGGTGACTTTCTCGTTGGTGTCTACCGGTGCTGCTGTTCTTCAAATAGCCCGTCCTTTTGTCAAACCTATGTGGTATTGCACATTGCACTGACGTGTAGTAGTCAACTTGTCTTTTGAAAAATAGTAACGACCAATTACTAAAAAAAACTTGTGGAATTCAACCGGGTCCATACTCTTGCGGTGACAAACGAGCATGTAATATCTCCCCCCCAAGCAATCAACAACACACCTGGTCACTGAGACCTTGCGGTTTCAGTTCCGCTTTATGCCAAAGAACTGTTGCACATCCTATCAGCCGACAAAGGCTTCGGTGGCCAAGAACCAACCTTGACGCAAACATTCGGACAATTTTGTAGCCACCCATTTGGTAATTATCCATTTAGTTTCACCATGTAGTTTCATAAACAACAAGCGGAGGGACTTACAGTCCACCAGTTTCTGTCTACTTTTTGAGGCCCGAAAGGATCGTGAATCTAGATACTAGCGGTAGCAAACTACCACTTCAATTGGGAGTTTTACCAAGACGAGCTATCAGATAAGTTTCTTTGTTTAAAGTAGAACTTGTAGAGTACTTATTATCACCGCCACCTCCAAACAAGCGAAGAAAAAGGTACCTGGTTTATTATACTTTCCCACTCTCATCAGATATATGTAGGACAATTTCGTGTATGAATTTGGCGGAAGTCGCTCAACACTGACCATCATTGTATATATATATATATATATATATATATATATATATATATATGTCGGTGGATATTCATGAACAAGTGGTGGGCCGGACACTTGTAGATAGTAATCGCTAGTGATCGGCTATTAGACTAAGCGCGGATGGATGAATTGTCTATCAAAATGTGTAACTGCATTTATTTGCCTGTTGTGTTATGCGGTTGAACCAACTTACATCTCCCATCTTAAGCAACATGCGAAAACATTAACTCACTGTTCTTCATTGTCAAACTTTCCACAGTCGCCGGATTCAACGGGTCGATCCATCCGTCACGATTGATTGGTCAAAGAGTCGGTCAAATGATTCACAGCCCTTCCTTGATTCGCCAACATATTATCCAAAGAAAGGAGGAGGAAGAGATGAAAAGATGATGTTGTCAAGGGAATCCCATGGACGAGACTCATTTTGGTCTAATTTTAGAAGTGTCAATGATCTGACGCGAGTCACGTTGTCCAAAGAAAAATGTTTTCGGGGCGCCACCGACCGTGAGCTTAGTTGCATTGGTATACAACTGACAGTGGGACAATCCGAGTCACGCTCAGCGACATCCACACCAATTCCTTCAGGAAGCAAGAGATACTCACCGTACTTCAACACCAAACCAAATCAATGGCAAGGACAAACGTCGTTTGCAACTTTAAACTCAGCGAAACGAAACACAGGTTCAACTGGCAAAACCGTCCAGAGTGGATCCATTCCTTCCTCGTTGGGATTAAGTGAAACACGTATTACAGAATCTAATGATGACCAATTAAAAGAAGTATTACCTGATTCGGCTGTTCTGCCGGTACCTTCCGTTCAAGCATGTAATCAAAAATCTGTGCAATCTGTGGACAGCGCTGATTCATACAATGATCCATCTCCTTGTTTTCGGTTAAGAAGACACAGGTTGCCACAGCTCATCAATTCTGCGTACAAACCATCTGCAGCGAAGCATAGCAATGCACTAAGACAAGAAGTTATGTCTCCAGATATTATTCGAGCCCAGAACAACTTTCAAGTATTTAACAACGCTCTAGTTACAAACGGACTGAACATTCCCATGCCAGCTGTACGGGCCGTTCTCAGCGACTGGATGATCACAAAGCTCAGTAAACTGCGCAAGGATAAAAGCTCCTGTCGAACGGGTGAGTGTTTGACATATGGTCCATAACGCCGGAGGAAAGAACGCAATATTTGGCGATTCGGTTATTGCAATCATGTTGTTTTTATAGTCTACATGCTATTCACGCCGTCGAGGTCATGGGATCTAATAGAGTACCTCAGATTAAAAATTTAAGACATCTCTTCTAACGGTGATTAAACTAACCGCGTTTGAGCAGTTATATTTGTCAAATGTTTGTAGACAATAAACGGATGACACAATGGTTTAATAAGAGTACAATGACTAAAGCTTAACATGTAAAATGATCAGGGTGTATATGACAAATACGGAAAGTTTGTCAGCAAATGTAAGTTCATACTGGTGGATTCGCATATTCTAAATTGTGAATCCACTGTAATTCCATAAAGAATAACGACCAATGGGACGTTGGTAAAATTCGTACCGCCTCCTGGTGAACACGAACAGGTGGTGTAAAAGGTGGAACGTATTCTTAAAGCTGACCGACGGTGAAACCTCTAAAAAGCACTAGCGTTTGGCCATGGGCACTGAGTCGTGTGAGTTAGTCCGGAGAAATGAGTGAACAGTCAACTGAGGATTTGGACTGCACCAGCTTGGGAGCAGAAGTGATAGATTCCAGTGGGGTATTCCAAGCTTTGCATACAAGTACAGAAAAGGTTCTCGCGGCATTCTAAACAGCTGCACTGGTCTTCCAGTTTGAGCTGATGTCCTCTCAGATTACTCTAATGACTGTGCTGTAATTAATAGCGGAATGTGTTGTTAGGATCCCACAACATAAATCCGAAGAAGGTTACCACGCAGTCTTAGTTACCGTCGGTTGAAGACCACAAGCACTACTATCCTTCCTTCTTAGGGCGAATGGTACAGGCCTTTGACATTTTTGGTTCTCCGGCGTTGGCGTATCTCTAATGCGGTGGGATCTCTCCTTAGCCATGGCTGCCAGACCTACATTCAGTATTCCATATAGGGACGTGCGTATGTATCGAAAAGCTGTTGCAAAATCAACGGGGCGAATCGTCCAAATGCAACCATCAAGTGACCCACGTGTTGAATGCTCTCCGTTAATGCCGTTTCAGCCTGATTCGAACAATCAAGCTTGGCCAAGAGTACAATGTCTAGGTCATTTTCACCAGAAGACGTTTGAAGCTGCTGGTTGCCGCGTTTGTAGGAGCACACCACTTGGTTCCATATGTGCAGCACTCGATGTTTGTCTACACTTATGCGAAGTGGACGCTGGATTGAGCACGAGTATACTCTACTCAGGTCCGCTTGAAGTACTGTGATATCAACTGGTGTATTGATCGCCCTACACGCGTTGATATCATCCGCATAAAGAGCGCAGTACGAGCTTAGGAGGAGTGTGATTTCGTGCATTCACCGTATTTTTCGGACGATAAGCCATACTGGGTTATAAGACGTAGTATCAGTGAACGGACCTAATTTCATATTTAAGGAGCACCGGATTATAAGGCGCATAAAGTGGAACAAAATAGCCAGATAGTATTAATCAATATCAGAAATCAGCTCCGGGTGAAGAATTCTTTTCGGTAACTCTCATTGGACCCAAACGTTTACAAAACACTGATACTGTGGGGGTAACCGTCAACTCTGGCTAGGATTTATTTCTGGACTGTTTGAATGATCAAAATCGATAACTTGCGACACAGAGAGCGATGGTAAACCAAGTAAACTAAATACATACATAGTCCGAAATAATTAAGTAGGTTGACTGAATCACGGGGAATGCTGCTCCTCAGCAATCCAAAAATTCCCATTTATTAGAATGAATCAAGCGAGGCAGAATCTGAGTAAAGAATTCTTTTCGGTAATTCTCATCAGACTCAAACATTACATGATGAGGAAAAAGTGCTAAATGTGCCGGATTGGGCTACGTATTGAACAAAATGTTTAATTTCACGGGTACATATCAATAAATCACGGGGTCATTGGAAGTGGGAAGTATGTACAGGGGAAATCATAGCCGAAGTTGTAAGCCACGGTAGAAGCAAAGGACGTACAAACTGTTTTTGTACGCACAGTTCTGGCTTGAGGTGGCGGATGTAGATAGCTTCCGCAATAGACAGAAGATGCGTCCGGAATCCGCGCGTGAAACGTTCAGGAACAGTATAGATGACTCTAAAATCATTTTCCGTTCCTGCGTGATTGCACTCTAGTAGATGAGATAAGATGGAACTGTTGCTGGACCTCGCTTCGCCTTTGTAAATCCACTTTGGGATGTGTTCGCGAATTCTATGAGATAGGCGCCTCGTGGTACGACCCACGTATCGTGCCCCACAGGAGCAAGGGTACTGATAAACGATCATTGAACGGGTCGATGCCGGTAGTCTATCCTTCAAGAGTTTCGTAAGCAACGGCTTGTTGTGAAAAACGATTCTCAGTCGGGCCGCGAAATAAGTTTTCTCGACAGCGTCTTTCAGGCGTCTGGATAACAAATCAGCTGCAGTATCGCCCTTAAAGGGTATATGTATGAAAAGGTCCTTCTTAGGAGCAAGGCTGCTAGGTGGCTTTCGATTGCGTTCCTTCAAATGTTTCATGATAAATTTATCAGGATAGCCATTTTCCCTGAGGGCGTCACTGATTCTCTGTAGTTCTTCGTTGACGGTATCCGGGGTACAAATACTGCGCGCCCGGAAAGCGAGAGATCTGATTAAACTTCGCTTATGCTGTAGTGGTACTGCGCTGTGGAAGTTAGTGTACTGCCCAGTCCATGAGTGCTTTCTGTGTACCTTTATGCCAGATAGGTCAGACTTAATTCAACTCATTAAAAATTACTGTCAATATTGTTCACTTGTAAAATACATAAAACACGGAAAATACACGTACTTTTTCAACCATTCCTCTTCTACAAACCCGTCAACTTCTTTATCTTCGGTGTCGTAGTTTAACAGTAAGCTCGGACCCCACTCGTCATCATCTGAATCAGCCACGATGCTGTTGCTTGACTGTTCATCGATTACTTCGACATTCGTGAAAGCTCGGGCAACAGTTGAGACCGATACCTTGGCCCAAGTACCGACTATTCATTGACAGTTAGGGGCTTAACTAGCCCGACGTTGCCTCTGTGTCTTGGTAAATGTGTGCACACGTTCTGTCATCCAACGCTCCTACGCGGCTCGCAATTTAACTTTGAACGCTCTGGTGACACCAATATCTAGAGGTTTGAGTTCTTTGGTTAATACTCAGGGGATACTGGCAAGCTCCGACTTAGATTTCTTTCCTTGGCGTTTGACAGTTTCGGTGAGATGGGCGCACATGGATTCGTAGATCAATAAGGACGGAAATGTGTGGAAAAAGCCATCCAGTCTCCTAACTTAAACTTGTCTAAGCCACTCTTTCATTTTCTCCTCGTCCATCCAGCCGTTTGGGTTGACCTTGACGATGACCCTAATAGGAAACCTTTCTTTTGGCAAAGTGTTCCTCTTAAAAATGACCATGGGTGGTAGTTTCTGGGCATTAGCCAGGCAACCGAAAAGTACCTCATCATCACAATAATAATCATCATCAACAGCAGTACATCAACCATTTGAACTGATGCTTGGCTGCCATACAACCATGAGGACCTATGAAATAAAGATTGAGAAAAGGAAGCGAAGAGGACTTACCTGCAAACCTTAATGCCCTAAGCAAACATTCACGGTCAAGCGCCTATACCTATTTTTAACAACATACCGTCACAAACAGCTGGCTATCGTGCAAAAATAAAGCGGCATCGGCGAGACAGCTTCCTTGCGGCTTTCACTGCCGCGCGTCATAATCAGCCATTACCTCACAGATAACTCATCACCAAACATACTATAGACAGGCAGTCCGATTAGGAGACGGCAGCAGACGCGCCACTGGTGTCGGTTGTGAGCCATGTCCTGTAAAGTCTCGAGCCAAGCACAAGGTGAGTCACGAGGACTCCAGCCCGGAAGGCGACACGGACCAACGGTCCCCAGTTTGGTCGCCAGTGACTTCATTTCCCGCTGAAGAGTCAACTTCTGTCCACCTAGAGACTTGCGTCACCCTACACCTGGTAGACTGAACAAGGCCCTCCTAGGTAAGCGGTGACCAGGCATACGTAGCACGTGCCCGAGTCAACGCAACTTATTCAGTGCTATCTGTTGTTCTAGGGAGCTAGCATGATTATCACTACCTAGTACTCGCCTACGCACATCATCGTTGCGAACACGCTGGTGCCATCCGACACCAGCAATGCTTCGCAGACAAAGATGATCAAAGGCTTGCACGCGTTTCAAGCTCAGACAAAGAAGCCAAGTCTCATTAGGATAGAGCAGGACGGTCTTCTCTGTGGCCTTGTATACATGGCCTTTCAGACGGAGGGAAACACTCTTCTGTCGCCAAAGATGCCACAGGTTCAAGAAGGTAGCTCTGGCCTTTGCAATGCTTAAGCTGACGTCAGTTTCTATGCGCTCGTCGTTGCTGATGCAGCTGCCAATATAAGTGAATTGATCAACCCCCTCCAGTTCCTCGTTAGCGAGGGTCAATGGGTCATGAAGTGGCTGGTGCTCCTGCATCATTACTTTGCATTTTGAAGGTGCGAAGTGCATACCAAATAATGGGACCACTCTGGACAGGCTATTTAGCGTTGATTGTGTCGCCGCAACATGGTGGAAAAACAAGACGATATCTTCCGTATAATCTAGGTCAACTAATATTTCACCAGGCAGCACTTCAACGACTACATCCTGAGAATCCGCAAGGAAACACTCCATGATAGAATCCACGAAGAAATTGAACAAAAATGGGGAAATCGGACAACTCTGACGAACACCACTTGTGGTCGGAAAGCTATCCGATAGGCCACCGTAGATACTGACGCGGACTGTAGTGTTCGAGTACCGAGAACGAAGGATGTTCACATTTTTCGTGGAAACACCTTTCCGCGCAAGTAATTCGAACAGAATCGATCCACAGAGTGAATACACGGTCTATACAGCCACGTCCTGGGCGGAAACCGGCCTACTCTTTCCTAATCCGAGA